TAGAGGGGACATTGTGGCTAGAGGGGACACGAAAAGGAGTCTGAACGCAACAAACCCAGGGTGCTTATGCAGGAAAATAATTACATTATCGGGCAGGGAGACCACATCCTGAGCTGGTGTGAAAGTGGAACTGTTACATCCAGCTACTTGACAGCTTCTCGTTTTCTCGGTCCAGCTAAAACTGCACTTCCACTTTGTGGGCGACAAAGTTGTTCCATCATGCCTTGGGCATGCACATGCCCTCTCAGGCATCTATGGAGAACTTCCATGTGTGTGCATGCACATTTGGTGTTCTCTCCAGTAATACCATATGCACACAGGATTGAATTGCTAAAGTGTGCAGTGCTACATACATTTTGAACATCTAGTTTTACACAGTATAGGATAATGTATGTAAATCAGGATGTTTTTTGTTTGTTTTTCTGTAGGGATAATCTCATTTTACATAATTTGGCAATTGTGCTTGGCGTGACATGTTAATTAAAATGAGAAGAAATTACTTTTATTATTATTACATTTACAAAATGTTACAGGAAGGAACTATAGGTTGATGGGGACGCTGCGTATAGCTAAATCACCCTGTGATTGGCCTTAGCAAGACAAAGGCAGTGCTATGCCAGAAACTTAATTATGTTAAATTCTAGGTGAATTCCTGCTGTGTGAACAGTTCATTTAAAGTACATGTATAATTAGATGAAAAATAAATTAATGTTTTACTGTATAGTACATGTCTGGCCTTTTTTTAAATGTTGTTCCAGTTTGATATGGTTTACTATGCTTTGATATATTCTTTAGGATTTCAGTGTAATGACATATAGCTACCATATATTTTCTTATGCAATGTATGTAGGGAGTTACCTATTATTAACTCTTTGTTTTGAAGGTTAGCAAGAGCCATATAGTTGTACTGGCAAACTTAGAAAACATTTACTATGTAGCAATTGGTGACTCCCATAGAGAGTAAAACATGGGAGGAGATAGCTGGTACTTATGGACTGACTTTAACTACGGGCAACTTATAACTCCATGTTGCTGCTGGCGAAAGTTGGCCCACCACTGAAACAAATTCAAGTAATATCTATAGACAAAACTATTATTAAATATTGTCAAATAACCTAACTCCATATTATTTTAATAAATAATAAACGGAACAAAGATACAATAACCACAATACTACAACAAGAGACAAGCATACAGGAAGACACAATGAAAGCAATCAGAGCTACAAGGAGAACAATGTTAGAGGACTGGGAAAAGAGCAAAAATGTTAAATAAAAAGCAAAGTGAACACAGACGGCACAATAAAAACAGACAGAGAGAAAAGGAAAACAATGCTAAAGAAAGAGAGAGTAAAAGAAAAAAATGGTAAAAGGGAGAGGGGCAGTGGATTAGGTAACAAATGATGAATACAAGCTTATAGTATAGTATGTGTAGTCAGTGCGTGACAGCGAGGCCAGGTATTCCTTCTATGTGTGCCAAGTCTCGTGGTGGATTTTGGCGATTGCCTAGGACATCAGTCAACATCTTCTTCATGTCATACCCAAAAAGATTTATCCCAGCAGCATCTGAATTCTAGAAACATCCTCCCTTCATCTATGAGCCACATATTCTTGCTACACAGAATATTTTGTGGCACAGTCCAAAGGCAGGTGAGGAGACCGTAGTGCATCATTTAGGAAAGCCAACATCATGTTTACGTGACTCAAAATAGCAAAAATGTACACTGCAACCACAGAAGAAGTGGATACCTCTTTACCTGCACACTCAGAAGCATAAAGCAGATCGTCCTTGTACAATTTTTTTTTTTTTCCGAATTGAATTTCGTCTGAATATATATATATATATATATATATATATATCGATTTCAGAAGTGTTCAAATTTCCAAATTCCTTATAAAACTAAACTAAACAAAAATTAACACATTTGGATCAAACTGAAATGAATTCTTGCCATAGCAAACGAAATTAGGTACTAATATACTAGAGCTTTCTTCATTTTGGTATCCTTACATGGCATTGCCATATTTTAACTATCAACAGCTTTCCCTCCCGCACCCTTATTCCTCTCCTGCAACTGTCATCAACACAAAACACTGAGCTGTCAGTGAATACTATCTTAGCAACCTACTTTTCTGTCCTAATAAGAATGAGATACGGTGACAAGTCTCCCAACCTTAGAGGGAAGGGGTAGTTTATCACAGAATTGTACCGCCAAGGTTGATGGAGGGAGGTCGCCTAAATTGTGCTCTCTAGGAGGACATAGATCCTAAATAGATCCTAATACGCTCCACTAACCGGTGTGCAGCAGGAGGAGCACAGTGGTGTGTAAGGAGATAAAAAAAACTAATATTTATTAAATCAAAACATGTAGATAAAAAAATAGCTAAACATTTAAGGTAGCTCTAAAGTATATATAGGGAAAGGACCAGGAGGTAAGTGGAAAGAAAAAGAGGCCCAGTGCTAAAGGCACCCCTCCCCAAACAAATTTATGTGAGGTTACCTATAATCCACAAAGGAGAAAGAAGGGGAATATCCACTAACCAATAGCCCTTCTCAACACAAAGGGTCAAAAGAAAAAGTGAAAACTGCTATCTTAGCCCTATTTACCTCTACACCACACTAAGATAGTGCATACCTGAACCAAACCATCCCTGAGACTACCAAAAAAAAAAAAAACTAAATGCACATGGTGCTACCAAAGTGAAAACAAAAAATATGTGACAAACGAAACGCCCAACTTGCGTTTCGGCGTGCTTAAATGCCATCATCGGGGGCACAATGACCAAGCTACTAGGTCTACATCTTCCTATATATCTCATATGTGATTAGCCACGTGTGTTTAACCCAATCAAACCCCAGGGGACAACCCCTCTTATGGCCAATCAACCTCCATATGAACTCTGGTAGTTCACTGTTCCTCACACAGTGACAAGCCACCTTCTAACTGCAGGTGGAGGAACCCAGGTGGGTGGGTCTTCCCTACGGGATTGGCTAGCTCATTAGGCTCAACCGTAGTGTGTGGCCTGCCCACCCTGGCGGGCTATTTGAGCCCTAATCCAAAAGGGTGGGGGGGGAAACCTTTGTTGAAAATTTAAATATAGACCAAGTGTTTGGTTGGAAAAGATACATTGACAACGTCTTTGTTATCTGGCTCGATACGATTGAGAGGTTTCATGTGTTTGTTCAGCGCCTGAATGTGAATTCACTCAATCTCCACTTTACCAGTGAAATTGGGGGAGCCCAACTCAGTTTTCTGGATATATCTTTACCAGTGGGATTTGATGGTAGAATCACAACCACCCTTTACAAGAAAAAGACAGCCACAAACAATTTATTGAACTGGACAAATTATCCTACCCCATTGAAAGCCGGCATACCTATAGGTCAGTATCTGAGATTGTGCCGCAATTGTTTATCTGTTGAGGAGTTCAAGTCCAAAGCATTAGCATTACGGGGCTCCTCTGGGAGAAAGGTTTCCCTAATAGGGTCCTAAAGAAAGCCTATGTACGAGTGTTACAAGCATATCGGGAGTCCCTTATTAGGGATGACACGAAGGTCAAGGAGTCGAGACCAATACGATGTATAGGCACATAAGATGCAAGAGATTTTGAGAAAATTCTGGCCTATTCTAACCTCTGATAGACACCAGAAGGATGTCTTTACCCCTTTTCAATCGGTTACGGCCTGCAGAGGGAAGAATTTGAAGAACATACTAGTACCAAGCCACCTAAGTACACTGCCCGCTCACAACATTAAACAATACCTACCAGTGAGGGCATATAGGTGTGGCCACTGTAGTGCCTGCCCCTTTATCTCCAGACAATCAAAGGACTTTTCTAACACTACTAATACCAAAGTTTTTAAGTCCCATTCCTTCTTTAATTTTATGGCAGGACAGGAGGCTTCATATTTGCTTTACCTTCTTTACTGAAACCTCCAGCAGCAAAGAAACAGTTAACAGAACTTTTCAAAACAACCAATCAGAACAAAGCAACAGTAGTATAAAACCCCTAAGCAGGCTCTTCCACGTCCTCTTTCTTTGCTGCTGCCTCCAGGTGAGCACTCACCAACTCAGAGTTGTCTCTGCTCTTGGTTGTTGTTTTATCCTACATGCTGCTTGTTTATTTAATCAGTCTATTTTATCAGTCTATTTGCTAGGTTTGTTTAGGCAGCTTAATTGCTGGTTTTATTTAGGCAGGGTTCTTGCTGGATTTAGCTAGGCAGTCTATTGCTGTGTTTAGCTAGGCAGTCTATTGCTGGGTTTAGCTAGGCAGTCTATTGCTGTGTTTAGCTAGGCAGTCTATTGCTGTGTTTAGCTAGGCAGTCTATTGCTGTGTTTAGCTAGGCAGTCTATTGCTGGGTTTATCTAGGCAGTCTATTGCTGCGTTTAGCT